TGTATAAAGTATTGTTAAATAAAATTTTAAGGATTTTAAATTTAAATTTTGAGTTGAAGAATTTGAAAACAAAAAAAAAGTTTCCCTTTATATATAACTCATCATAAATTAACTTATAAGAGTAGCATTGTAGCCTGAATATATACCTTTTGTAATTGATAATTTCTTATCAATTTGGCTGACGACAGTAAAGGAGTATCTTGCATTTCGACACCAACCAGAGGGCAAAGTCCCTCTATCTGGAACTTCCAGACATATTATGAAATGATCCTTATAAAGGGAGCTCTTAGGGTGCAACCATATCTCCCTGCAAAAATGATTTATCTGTTTAATGCAAAAGATATGAATGGTCTATATATGTGTGCCTCAAAAGACAACAAAATTATAGTGTGTTTGCTATACAAATGAATTAAAATTCATTTAATTTGTAAAAAACAATTATTAGTGATTTAATTTTTTAGTGAATTATCATGTTTTAAAATTTTTTATTATGTTTAGTTTAAATAAAAATGCAATTTTTATTTCATTTTAGAAAATGAATTTGTATAGAATTCATTTGGAAGCTAATTTGTAAATAAATTGTTTTATGTTTGGAATAATAATGAAATTATAGAACTCAATTGAATTTTGCATGCATTTTGTTTAAAATAAATATAGAATTGTGTTAAATATTAAATTTGTCATAAATACCTTTATTATTTGTGAAGGAGAAAAGAGCTTTAACCGAAGAGGTGTTTTAATAATTTAAATGCTTGCCTTATTTACCTGAGTGGAATTCAATTCCAAATTCGTTCAAAATATATAAATTCGAATTACATTGAACTAATTTCATAATTTAAAGTTTAGAATTGAATTTCATATTTTAAAAAAAAATCAAATAAAGAAATGCAAATGGAAAAAATAAAAAATGTAAAATTATAAATAAATTGTACAAAATTTTTAATTAAACCAAGCACAAGAGTTGTTTAAAATTCAAATCGTGAAATTAAAATTAAATTTTTTTTAATCAAATAAAAAATTACCATTTGTAATCTCTAAGGGAGAAGACCTCCGACAGGTGCCAAACCTCATCAAGCTTCGAGAAATTCTTTA